CACTAATATATATATATATATATATATAACAGCAATACACACACACACACACACACACAAATACCGTTCTGGCGGTGCGTGGAGGGGCGGGGGTTCTCGTTGGGTCCTTCCTCCGCGTCTGTGGAGTTTCCGGCTGGTTCCGCGGCCCGTGCCTGACGTAGTCGCGCTGACTGCCACCGCTGGCGGCGAGTGGCACGCACTTGCGGAAGCATGGCTCCTGCCGTGGCCATTGCCGTTCGTGCTGCCTTGGGGGGAGGTGGCGTGCGTCGCCTGTTTGGTCTCCTGCCCGACTGGTGCGTTGCCGACCTTCGCTCGTCTCTCGCGCCCGCTATACATATATATATATATTTTTCAGTGTGTTATTTTTTTCCGTGTGTGTGTGTACTTTTTTCTTTTGGTGTTTTTGTCTTGTTTTGTTTCTTCTCCCTGCGTTTTGTGCGTCCCCACACACTCTCCCTCGCCCCTCCCCTGGGCGGCAGAAGAAAACGCAGCAGCCGGCCACCCGGAGGGGCGAGGGAGAGTGTGTGGGGACGCACACGCGCATAAATACCCGCCGTGAGAGGCGCCTCCCCGTTTTTTCTTCTCGCCGCCGCCAGCCTGCCGGAAGAAACGAGGAAAACATAAACAAACAAACACACACACACACACGCACACGGGGAAGACGGGAATGGCGGCTTTTTGTTGTTGTTGTTGTTGTTGTTGTTGTTTCTTGCAAAAATTTTCCCTCCCGCGGTTTGTCTCGGGTCCGCGGCGTCGGCCTGTTTTGTTGCGGCTGCGCCTTCTCTCACCCCGCCTCTCTCTCTCCTGCCTCCTGCCAGCACGACCAACACCGCCACTGCGCGTCTGCGCGCGGGAGAGAAGCAAGCAAGCGAAGGAAGGCGTGCGTGTGCCGAACGCAACCGCAGGCAGCCCGCGACAATAATCACCGGCGGGGCGAAGGCACACCCACCCAACCCACCCACCCACTCGGCGGCAGCAGCAGGGACGAAGCAGTGGGTGTGTGAAGAGGAAGGAGTTGGTAACCTGAGCAACTAACAGACGAATTTGTTAGTTGAGGTTTACCTCTCACCACACCTCATTGGGGAAGCAAAAAAAAAACACACACACACACACACAGACACAAACGACAACTCCAGGGGCTGCTCGTGGAGGCGACAGGCCGTAACATGTCAGCCGAGCCGCAGCCAACCCCGGCTGACGCCGTCGCCGCTCCCCAGGGCGCTGATGAAGCGGAGCCCCTTCCCGCCGCCTCTGCCGCCGCCATTACGACTATTAGTACTGCTACGGTTGAAGTGCAAAGCGTGCCGGAGGTTAGTGCAGGAGCAACAGCAACAACAACAGCAGCAGCAGCAACGACGACGACAACAGAAAAGGAGGCTGCTGTGACCACAGTTCCCGCTGCGTCTGATAGTAAAGCCGAGAATGTGGCAGAACCCGTTTCCGCATTGCCTGAGCAGCAGTTAAATGTGGCTTCCGAGCAGTCGCCAAAGGAGTCAGGCGAACACAATGGAGAAATGGGCCCAAGGGAGGAGCCGGCGGCTCAGGCAAACTCGAAAGAGCTGTCCACGGAGGTAACACCGCCCACTATGCCACTGGCAAAGCAACAGCTCAACTCGAATGCGGAGTCATTTCCCCCGCGGGGTAAGAGTAAACCGAGGCAGCCGTCCGCCACTTTTCCCACACCCAAGTACAGGCAGCCAAACTCTCCCCCCGTGGCAGACTTGCGGGCGGGCAGCTCAAGGACGCCAATGCAGCAGCCACTACCGCCGCCTCCCATGTACCAGGCGCCGATTATGGTCTCGCCGTTGGTGCCAGCAACACTACCGCCGCCGCCACCGCCACCACCGCAGGTGCCATTTTATATCACACAACATGGCATGCCACCGCCGCCACCGCCGCCGCCGCCACCACCGCCG